TGCAACTGCAAAGATAATGTCATGGGTGTTTTTAAAAGCTAGTTTGACACAAACTAAACAAGATTAGAAATTTCCTGAAACTAGAGTGTACCATTTATGTGTCTCTTGAACGTGCATGAGAACATGTTCATGTGTGTTGGAGTAGGTGTGTACACAGTATGTGTATGTAAAAACCAGAGTTACATGCTAAGTGTCTTCTTCAATCATTTCTCCACCCATTTTTGTTGTTGTTGTTTTTGAGACAGGGTCCCTCCTTGAGTGTGGAATTCAATGAGACACACAGTTATTTATGCCTGACTTGTGTTTTGTGGATCCAAACTAAGGCCCACAATGTTGTGCAATCATCACTTTACCAACTGAACCATCTTCCCAGCCCCTAGAAACTACATTTTAAAAATAAAATTCAGATGAAGAAAACAAGGCCTCTACAAATTAAATGACATATTTTGGATAACAGGAATAACATTCATAGCTCTAGAATGTCATTACACTAAAACATGGTATAATTCACCTATTTTTTTTAGATCATATATGTCCTGTACATATGCTGAAAGCAGAACACTTTTAACTTCTTATACCCCAAATGTCTGTGAAGTTAACCCAAATGCTGCCTTTGTTTCAATTATTTTAAGAGAAAAATGCCCAGAAATATCCTAATTAAATGGACTATATATTCATAAAGTACACATGAAGGTATCTTCAAATATAGCATGTGGATGTGGACGTCTTAATTTCTTCTCTCTCTGCTCTTTAAAAAATGCCCCTTTAAAAATTTCCCACTCACCATCTGTTAGGTAAATTTCCTAAAACACAGTAAATGTGGAGGCAGAGAGTTTCAGAGATGATTCCAAATGGCAGTGGTACCTATATTTATGTGATTTTAAAGAGTAGGTTAGAGTTGCTTTAAAAAAGGAGTCCCCCCCCCCACTTATAGTCACACACACCGTATAAATTGATCTGAGAGAGAATGAAGATAGGTATCTAAGTTTATAAAATAGTGTCCTGAAGGCTTAAGCTTAATATTACATGCAATTCCAATGAATGGACAGAAACCATTGACAAACTTACATATGAATTTCATTTACGGTACAAAGTTCATAGGCTTAGATTTGTATTATTACACTCAATAAGGGTACAATTTTGCAAGTTAGTTATTTCTGAAAAAAATAAGAGAAAACTATGCAAGTACAGACTCACACACAGAGCAGATTCCATGAAGTTCTGTGCCTACAGACTAGATCATATCAGTGCACACCTGCACACCCACCCACACTCACACCCACCCTCACACAAACACACACACACACACCCACACAAATAGTATTCCATTAGAATCAGGACATAAGTCAGTGAAAGAGGAGTCTCGATCAACAATGATGTCCTCTATGCTGTAATGTCTCTCACTCATGGCTATAACACACTGCTAAGGGGAGATTCATCTTTTGGCCACCAAATTATGTAACCTCTCCACTTAAGCCATCCCTATCCTGTGATTAGTTTTTAAAAATATGTTACTCCTCGACAGTAATAATTTATTTTTAATCTTTCTGAGCATTTAGAGAGTATTATTCTGCCCAGGCTTAGGAACAAATCTCCAGAAATTCCTCCCCAATGCTTCTTTGAGGCTGAAAATGCATCGCAGGGCAGTTGCTGTGATTTAATTCTACTTGGCAGAGCCCTGGCCACAAGCTAATTTCATTAGCCTCAAACTCCTGGATTTGAAAGACCTACTAGATCTGATTCTTGTTCTCAGACATGTCATCTGCTAACCTATTCAGGAAAGATACAGTGCAGAGGGAGGGTGGGAGGGAGGGAGAGAGGAGGAGGGAGGGTGGGAGGAGGAGAGAGAGAGAGAGAGAGAGAGAGAGAGAGAGAGAGAGAGAGAGAGACTGACCTGACTTTCCAGTCTTATCTCTGGCCTTGCACACCAGTAAGAGAATTCCAAGTGAAAGGCAGTATTTACATCTGAGTAGTCATCTCTAGTCTTGTCTGCATTTTACAGTTTCTACCCTGGCTGTTCTGGCAGTAGCAGCATGTGTTGTATCTCTGACTATCTCATTACTTCCTCATGGCCCCCAGTGCTCAGCATCCCCTCATTTAGTCCGTAAGTACCTCCTCCCCCAGGCTACAAGCTCATCTCTCTATAAATTCATATCTCAAGTGATCAGTTTGGCATGGTCCCCACAGCCACCCACGAGGACCAGAGCAAAGAAGAGAACTCAAATCACTGTAAAGCTCCAAATTCAGTCATTTGGAGGAGTTTATTTTATAGAGGACAATTTTAATTGAATAGAGCACTGTGGTCCCAGGGGAGATTTACCTCCCCATTTTTTCCTCTTCCTCTATTTGAAGGAGCCCACTGTTATTCTATCTTTATTCTCTTTAATCATTTTGCAGGCTGACAGAAGCTGGAAAACTGGTGAAACATGCACACTAAGGGCTTCTGAAACCACAGTGGGGAAAAAAGGCCACTAAAAGATGCCTATGTGAAATATAGAGACAGAGAAGCTCATGTCTGCACACGTGCACGCACAGGCACACACACACACACACACACACACACACACACACACACACACACACACTCACTCACTCACTCACTTACTTCAGCGAGGGGAATGGCTAAAGAAGGGTGCACACTAACTGCTGTGTCCAGCTTGAAGCACTAGCCACAAGTTGGAGCAGGCCTCTCTCTCACTACCAGCCTTTTCTCAGCAACTGTAGGTGAGAGGCAGGGCCTCTTTTGCCTCAGCTCCACAATCCAACATGAATAGCAGCAATTTGCAAATTAGAGGAAAATGACAGTGTTTTCTCTGAATGGTTTTAGTCCCAACCCACAGTGCTCACACTAGCATTAGGTCCCATCCTTTTCCAGCTCAGAGGATGGGAGGGGAGATAGAACACCAGCCATTTCTTTCTTTGGAAGTTACCTCAGTTTTAAATGCCACAGAAGAGAAATCAGCTCCCCCTGGAGTTCTTTGCACACTGTCCCTAGCTTCTTCTGCAATGACTTTCCTAACTTGAATATTCCACTCCACAGACAGAGGCCCAATTGGGATGATGCCCATGCTCCCATTGAAGACAATAGCAAAGAAATAATATTAAAATGCTAAATCCAGAAGGAACAGCATCCCTTCATTCAAGGTTTGAGATGACTGTCCCCTGCCACACACACACACACACACACACACACACACACACACACACAAGAGATCCTCAGGTATTGTCTCTTCACTCTGCTGCTATAGCATCCCTACCTCCAAGTTGTCCAGCTTCAAGCTCGGAGGTGAGAGTAACTCTTTTGAGTTTTCATGACAAAAGCCTGGGGCCCTTTATGAATGCAAGCAACCTAGAATGAAGTCTGCCCTCAAATCACTTTAAGGGAGTGCAAGCAGCAAGCAGTCTCCATGCTGGCACACTCAGGAGGTATCAGGGTGCTCCAGTGATCAGAGGGGACTCCCTGGCTTGTTGAGCACCTCTGCTGCTTGAGCACAAACTTCCCACTCCTGGAGATAAGTAAGGCAGGTGCTATGCTAGCCTGACTATCACCAGCAGGTCCCTCACAATACTCACACCCTCAGGAGAAGAAGCATGTGAGCAAGAGTCACTTTTTAGACACAGTCCTGAAGGGATCATCTTGCACATTTAAGGCAAGAGATTGTCTGGATTTGACTACCATCAAACAGGCAGCAAGCCCTGGGTAAGGAGAGTCATATCAAAACTGACTTGAGGCAAGAACTTGAGAAGCAGGAAACAGGCTTAGATTGGGCCATGGGATGGGGGGGTGGGAAGTGGGGAAACAAACAAACAAACAAACAAACAAAAAACCAGGATAACCAACCAAACAAGTAAACAGAAAGAAACAAGAAGCAAACTAGCATACACAGAGTTCCCCCAACTCAATTTCTAACACCCAAAGCCACCCATTTCTACTTAGTGCAGCAGAGGAGACAAGGAGAGAGAGGCTGCAGAGACCAGAGGCAGAGCACTGCAGTTGGACCCACTGCTCATCAGTACTGGATCCACCTTCCTCCCGTTTGGAACCCAGGACATGAGAACTGCATGCCCTGCAACCCCCACCTCAGAATACCCCAGTGGATCTGGGCAGAGCAAGCTCAGTCTCCCAGCTGAGCTTGGGATTTGGGTGTGGGGCTGCATTAGTAAAGGAGGGGGACTAGGAGCAGAGGGAGCAGTCAGTGACAGCGATTTTATTTTGCAGTTAGCATGAGCTCATCCCCAGCTGAGGTCTGAAGTGGCAGCAGAAAGCTAGCTGATCGCCCAGCTCCTGCCACTGGCCGGACTGCAAATGCAATTTAGGCGGTGCACAAAATTGCCAGGAAGAAACCAACTCTGCGGGGATCACGTCAGCAGGCAGGGTCTCCCCAGTGGGGCGGATACCCCATGCCTCTGATGGAGACTGACTACAGGTCGGAAATTCAACCCCAAAGAGATGGGCAATTAATATCCACATGCGGGTAAAACCCAGCCCTCAGTTGAAGAATGGACTTCTTGAGGTCTTCGCGTGAATATATCCGTGGAGTCGAGGTTTCCTAGGTGGCTTGGACATGGGAAGCAGGGGAGTTGAGAAATGCCATTTTTCAAAGCATCTTCTCATTTTTTCATATTCCATGTGCCTAACCTGCTCCCCTAGGAGCCCAGACAGTTTTACAAGCCTGTTCCCGACCATATTTCACTCTAATGCAAACCCATTTAAATCATCGCCTTGTTTTTCCGAAGATTGCTTCTTGTAAATGGGACCATAAATCCGGGGAGTCAGGTCAGATGGAGTGGAGCATGGACAGGGGAAGACATAAAAGAGGAGTAAACTAAGCAAGGAAGATACCTCCTTGGGTGGGGTGGGAGGGATTCGGCAGGATCTCCAGGGAAGAAATGCTGGAGTGTTGGCCTGACCCCTGCAACCCATGAAGTCCAAACCAGCCTTTAAGGTTAGAGCGCAGGGAGCCACAGAATGCTCCTCCCCAAAGGGAGCGCCCCCCTACCTGGAAAAGCCTCAAGATGTTGGCTACCATGATGGAGACGGAGCTCCCCGAAGCCCCAATCACTCCAACTACTTTCTCTGGCTTGACGAAAACCGGGGGCTCGCCGTTGGTGCAGCGCACGTCGGAGGTGTCCTTCTGGATGAGCGCCTGGACGAAAGTGAGCGACTGTTCGAGCGCATAAGTGTCCCTGGAACAAGTGTCCAGGATCCGCGCGCCTAACGTAACGTTGGGCAGCAGGTTGGGATCGCTGTTAATTTGGTCTAGGGCATAAAGCATAGCTTCCAGCCTGTGGATCCCGTTCTCCCTCTTGATGTCACCGCAGGGCACTCCACTGGGACCCTTGGCGTGCACTGGGAACAGCCCCCCAAGGGTGACGTCCCCCTCGATCCGGATCGAGTGCGGGGCGTACATCTCCTGGCCGCGCGCCGCCGCCGCCAGCACGCACAGGAGCACCTCCAGCACGCAGCAGGGGAACTTCATCAAAGTCAGGACGCGGAGCAGCTTCCCCAGCTGGACCATGCCTCTCCTCCGGATGCTGCTGCGGTGGCGGCGGCGGCTGCCCTGGAGGGAATGCTGGTGGGCTCTCCCAGGTCGGGGCTTCTCGAGGTGAGCTCCTTTGGGGGAAGCCCGGGGAGTTCTGTACGCACAGAGCCGGAGGAGGTGCAGCGGGAGAGGTTGGGGGGTCCCAGGGCGCCAGCCAGCCTTGGGCACCTGGCACTGTGGCTCTGCTGGCCCGCGCACCAAGCTTGCGCTCCCGGCTTGTGGCTCGCGCTCTCCAACAGCCTAGCACTGGGGAGAGGGCAGGGATTGCTATCGCTTTAAATGGTTGTTGGGCTCCCTCTCCTCCTCCTCCCACTCTCTCTCCCTCCCTTGCTTGCTATCCATCTCTCCCCACCCTTCCAGAGCCCGCCCTCCCCACCGGTTTGCATCATCACGCAGGGAGGGGCTGCGTGCTGAGGTAAGGGGGGAGGGGGGTGGAAGAATGGGTGGGTGGCCCGGGAGCGAGAAGGTTGCCTCTCCAAGGGAGTTTCGTGGTCCCCAGGGAATCTACGGATTTCAGGATAGCAGTATACCAAGCTAAGCTCTTGTCCAACACCCACGCCCACGTTCTAGGAACCGCAGAGGTACACTTGGCTTGAGGTGGCGATATGGGTGCTGACTGATCCGGAGCCCCCAGTCTGAGACTTTGATCTCACCTCTGGCAGTAAGAGAGGGAGTCTAGAAGTGGAGCAGCCAGTGAAAGGGAGCAGGAGGAGGGACCCGTCTCTATGACTGGTCCTCTTGTGCTAGCTTATGCTCAGAAAAATACAGGACATTCAGTAAGTAGCCTGATTCATGACTAACCAGCAGCTTTTCTGGGAGCAGTCACCTTCTAGCTTGGAGAAAAGCAGAAGCCAGGAGTAAACCTAAGGGATGGTATTACACTCTTTATCTTCCTAAGGGCCAATGCTGGCCAAACTAACTACCTTCCTTGGCAGGTCTGCAGCAGAAACCTCGGGCCCAATCAGTACCTTTTCTTTGCAACAAGAGAATAACTAAGAACTCCAGGACTTTCCTCCATAGCGCTGACAGGTGTAAGGCTTCCTCCTACCTATTTCCAGAGATACACCACCACCCCACCCCACCCCCAGTGAGGAAACAGCAGGAAAGAGGAGAGGGTAGGAGGAAGTAAAGGGAGCTGCAGAATTCTTCTAGAAGAGAAGTTATTTTCTCTTTCCTTGCAGGGAATTTGGGGAATAAAGTCACGATGTTAAGGCAGGTTGCACTGCAGTGCCTCCTGGAAGGTAACCCCAGCTGAAACTTAGCCCATTAAAGCAACAAGTGGAATTAGCGTTGTTACAGTGAAATTTATAATTTCTCAGGGACCTTAACTAAAGTATTGGTGTTGCTTTTGCTGGAATGTAAAAAAAGCTATATTACACAGATTTGAGGGTGGAGAGAAAGCTGAAAACAAGACTAGGCTTTGTGTTGCTGATGGGAAAACTAGTATTATGTGTTACATACATTGCCTCCACCAACAACTACCTGTGTGTCCTTGGCATTTCAATGCCTCTGCCTAAGTTTTCGTTTTCCCATCAGGAAAATGATGAGATTGAGTTGGATGCCCTCCAAGTTATCTTTTAACTCAAATCCTTTGTTAAAATAGGCCATGTCCCTTTTGCTACGGTGCTCTTTTTAGGCCACTAGTCTCTGTTGCTTTATGCTTAGGAAACCAGCACAAACATCTCCAAATCCCATTGTCAATATTTACTGGCAATTAGGACTTTATGGGTTAGGTCAGGTGCTTCTGCTAACTATCTATGCTCCTTCACATAGGGACAGTCATTTCTTTTGGAATGTATTCCTCTCTATTTCAATTCTTATGGTTTGAGAACTGAACCTTCCTCCCATAATGTAAGTGTGGCTTATTAGTTCATCTGCTCCTTCTAGCCAAACTGCCAAGGTCAACTGAGGGGATAAAGCTCAATCAGAATCCTGAAGAACTAATGCTGGTGGGGCAACCAGGATGGAGACACGAGGTTGGGGTTGGTACCTAGAAACATCTCTGTGAATTAGTAAAAATTAGGCTCTCTGCTCAACAGAATTCTTATTTCTCTTCTGAAAAACTATTATTCTCTTCTGATTTTGTAAGTAAAAGATATTTGACTGTCATCTTACACAAAACTGTACTGTGATTCATATGCAAATTATATCCAATATGCATATCAGTCACCCTCAGGCTTCGTTCTTTACTACACAAATGCACACCCAACATAGATGTATTCCATGATGGCTCTTGCTCTTTGTTGCTGATCTGTATCTTTGAGGATGGCCCCTGTTCTGTACACTATGGAACAGGGGCTTTTTGAAGCCTGGAATAAGAGGCAGAGAACAATGATGACAAGGGTGTGGCGTGGTGGTGGTGTGTGCTAAAGTGAGAGAGATGAAGATACACACAGATAAAATGGATATGAACAGCAATGACAAGAATGGGAATAAAGGACTAAGGACAGGAGAGAGGTTAGAGACAGAGAGACACACATAGCGAAAAGCACATAATGACAGACATTCCATTGAGACACACAAGTGCTCCAGATCCAGGTACACTTGAAGGATTGTTTCTGTTATTTTCCATGGTAGTTTCTTTCTAATATTTGATGTCAATAACAGTTTGTAGTTGCTCTTCTGTTCTAATGCTCTGAATCAAACCACTGAATGAAAGAGACTGGATAGGTATTCTATCAATTAACAATCCAGTTTAGAGGGTTGGATTATTTCTTGAATTGAAGAATTGAAGATAAAGCAAGTGAAACAAATGAAAGGTGTACTACAGGAGTCCCTAATTTTAAACACCAGTAGCTTTGGCTGTCTTTGACAGAGATGGAATCCTTCTTCTTCTTGTTTTTTATTTATTTATTTTTTGTTTTGTTCCTTTTACACTATGCTTTAGGAAGTTGGTACCAAACAGTAATCAGAGAGATGAATAACAAGTATAACCAGGGTTCACCTGTATAGGTATTCATCCATGTTCTCCTCTCCCATCCTGCTCTCTCATCCTATGAATATCTTTTAGCCATTTATTAAAGTATATTTCATCTGGTGTTCTCTTGCTGGCTAGCTTTATGTCAGCTTGACACAAGTCATAGTCACTGAAAAGGAGGGATCTTAATTGAGAAATTTCCTTCATGTTTTTGTATCTAGACACTAGCATACCAGAAGTACATAGAAAGTGGTTTGTTACTAGAGAAACTACAAGTGATGCTAAGCCTGCAGAATCACTATGTATTTACAACTCACAGCACCTCATCCATTTTTATGTACTTAGCCACAGTAGAGAGTCCCAACCTTCTTATTAAGTACTCTATTTAGCATTGAGTATATACTAAAATCTCATTGTAGAAATAGTTTGGGTAGAACTGGGATAACCACCATTATAAGGACAGGAGGAGAAATAGTTTCAGCCACAGAGATGATACATCCTCTGCAGGCTTGATTCTATATAAGCATCCAACTTCACTCATGACCTCACAAAAAATACTTAACTGAATTACAAGTTCCATTCTATTTTGGTTGTTGTTGTGTTTATTGTTGTTCAATTTTGATTTTTAACTCAGCTTCAGGTTTTTAGACTTAAAACATTTTTGTTTTATGAATTTGAGTGTTTCCTTCATGTGTGTATGTTTGCCCTGTACATGTGGTTCCCACAGAAAGAATGGCTCAGCTGAGTACTTAAAAACACTTCCTGCTCGTTGAGGGGAATCTGTAGTAGGTCCTGAGCACTCATATGGTGACCTGCAACATCTGTGACTTCAGTTCCATGAAATTAAGTTACTTTGTCTGGACTTCCTTAGAACTAGACACATGGTGAACATACCTGCACACATGTAAAACACTCAGAAGCACAAAATGAAGTTAAGTATATATCAATTATTATTAAATATTTAATATTAATATATTAAAATTATTTCAACATTAATAAATACTATATTAGTACATTGTATTAAAGTTGAATGTTTTTTTAGCCACTGAGCCATCTCTCCAGCCCCAGGTTGAATGTTTTCTGTGGATGAGTATTACCATGAGCTTCAGTTTTTCAAGTGTTTCTAGTACAAATCAGCCTAATCCTCAAGATATGTACATTTATCATATTACATCCCTATTATCATTATTAATATTGATCAGGAGACATACTGGGCAGATAATACCAGTTGGTATTGTTTAATTTCCTTTGTGCCTTTTTGTTTGCCTTCTGAGTTATCCAGATGCCAAGTAGCTTTTGTATTTTCTGTCTGGCCTTAAGATGCTCCACAGGGACACACTCTCTCTTATCCAATATGCTTAAATCATGGATCTTACTTGTAACATCTCTCAAATCTCTGTGTGTAGGGGCCTGGAAACCACAAACAGAATCTAACTTCAGAACTAAAAGAGGCCTCAATGATCTGATTCAGTTCTCCTTTCAATAGAAATGGAGAACATTTTTCATCTGCCTTCTGGGTGAGAGCATGAGACGAATTTAGAGAAAATCTGTGATAAACATGATTCTTTGGGTAATGCTAAGCCTCCCCTTCCCCCTTCGCTATCAAGTTTTGTTGCCTTTAAAAACAATAGAGACAAGAGAGGAACTTGGATTTTGATGTAATGAAACTGAAAGATGAGGGGCCAAGAGTGGAGCCCCAATAAGGTCATCTGAGATGTTGAATCCAACCATGCTTCCAGCTCCATTTCCTATTGAGCTTTCCAACTCCTACTCACTAACTTCCATCTGTTTTGTTGTTTTATTTATTTGATGTATGGCTTCATGTATCTCAGACTTATATTGAGCTTGCTGTGTTGGTGACAATGCCATTGAACTCCTGATCCTCCTTCTTCTGCCTTCTGAGTGAGGCAATTACAGACACACTTCACCACCTTTGGCTGTCCCATCCCTTTGAAAAGCTAGTTTGAGTTGGTTCTCTCATAATCAAGGGTGTTAATTTAGACAGTTAGAGCTTAAAGATAAGCAGATAATTAAATGTATAAGAAGATACTGCTTATTAGATTTCTGCGAGAATGAATTATTGAATCTGTATCTTGGTGATAATAGAGGGCAGTGGCCTTCAAGTTAGCTCTCTGTATGACAACCGACCTTGCGAACATAATGGCAAGCACCAAATGATCATTTT